CTCTCTCTCTCTCTCTCTCTCTCTCTCTCTCTCTCTCTCTCTCTCTCTCTCGCTTTAAATGCGTTTGTTGTGCAACGAATGCATCTAGAAGTGATTGTGCGGTGCGTTCAATTTCTATTCGCCACGGCGTCCGTGAACGCACGCAAAATTCGCACGCAAAGGTGTAAGCGCGTCCGCAGAATATCATGATTACCACAGACCTGGAAAAAAAAAAACTAGAAAACCGGGAAGAGTTGTGAAATTTAAATTTGGTCAGGGAAAGCCAGAAAAAAATCGTGGAAATTTAAATTTGGCCAGGGAAACTCTGGAAAAGAAACAAGAAGACATATAAAGAAGTCTGAAATTTTGAACTTCGCTCACAATTCCCTTGAATGCTCTTGTTTTAAAAAAGTACTTATAATTTTATTTTTTTTTTTTTTATTTAATCTCTCTTTTTATAACTGCATTTTTTTTTTAATTACTTATTTATTTTTTGTCGAAACTTACATTCAGGATTATATTACTAGATTTCTAAAGTTATATATTAATAATATAATATAAGCTACCTCTCTTCGTGTTTCTCTAAAATTTAATATTATTGAAAATTCTGTACTGTCATGTAAAACATAGAAAAGTCAGGGAATTTCCAAATTTATTTTCTACGGCAACTCTGAATGTGTCTTCGATCAGGTGAAGAGTTCGATTATCATCTATCGCTCTAACATTACATTTATATTTTAGAAAGAGGAAAAACAGATAATAAAGAAAGAATTATCTTATTAAATACTGTTTAATTACGAATTTCCATTATAATAATTTACGCATGCATGCACGTAGTCATTTAATAACCATCCCGCAATTACATAAAGAGCTTTTACTCTATTTTCATCGCCGTTACGTCATGCGTCTACGTATATCGCTTCAGTTGGTGTGCAAAGGCAGTTTAGCGATTTCAGAAACTGCACTTTAAAATCTTTAAATATCGGGGTTATCTAAAACGTCATGCGGTGTGACGGATCACTTCTTTAATTAAGTTAGAACGCGAGAGCGAGAGACCATGCGAAAATCGCGAAGATATTCTTCCCGTTCCCCGTTACTCTCTGACGTCTTCATCAGATACCACACTTTTGCAAAGTGTTACAGGAACATACACTCGCATCCACGGCCATTATGTTATCCTCGGCATGGACGAACGTGCGCAGCTTGTGTAAAAGTACAGTATTGAGAGATCTCTCGTGCACTTTCTGATTCGCAAACAAATCTTGCGAGCAAATCACTTTTAATTAGGTAATTAGGCACTATTTAATTCGCGAGAAATGGCGGATGAAATTCTGGATTTCCCACCAAAGTACAGTACGGAATTTTACCTGATTAATTGTATCAAAATTGTTTAATGTCACAAAAGATAACGAGAAGAATAGTTCATATATTGACGTAAATCATCAGCAACACTGAACGAATAAAGATTCGGTCATTTTTTTTTAAAAAGAATTCCTCGAAAAGTGACACATGCAACCTCTTTCATGCGTGCTATTCTTGTCATACAGTTTCTGTTGATTACAGTTGCGTTCTGTAAATGACGACAGCAAATTGAGGGGAGGTTCTCGCAGTGCGTAAACGTATGAGAATCCTTTCATCCTCGATACCTAACAATTATCGTTACGACAGATAACGACAAAAAAACACACACACACACACACACACACACACACACACGCGCGCGA